TAGCATGGATGTTTATAAAGTCTCTAGAATTTATGGCAACATTACATAGGAGAAGATAGTAAAAGCGAGGAGGGCAGAATTCCTTAAATTTATTTGCACTGATGTGACTCCCTTTGCTGCAGTAAAGTTACTTTGGATATACACCAATATCAATGAGCACAGAACTTGACCTACACAGTAAGGCCACATCTACATCATTGGGAAGATCGACACTGCGGTGATCGATCTTCTGGCATTTGATTTAGTGGGTCTAGTAGGGACATGCTAAATGGAACACTGGAGACACCCTCATCGACACCGATATTCCTTGCAACAGTAGTGTTTCTCCCGTCGACCTCTCACAGTGAGCACGGCATCCCAGCTTGGCTTAACATCCTGTGGCAGAGCTCCGGTCATACCCCCTGGCTCCTGCACTTCCTAGTGGATTTTTGATATGCCTCAGAGGCTCGCGGTGACCCTCCCACTGCCTCTTGCTTCTCTTAGAGGAAAAGGCTCCCCACTTAATGAGCCATTTTCATCATAGGAAAGTCACTAGCTTGAGGGGGAAAATCTTTCCACGGTCCAAAAGTTCCCTCTTTCCCCAGTGGTGGCCCACCAGGTGCGGGAAGGGTTGGGGGGAATCTAGTCCTGCACACTTACTCAGGGTTCCAGCCGAGGGCCATAGGTAGTGGCCACTAATGGGGCTCCTGCCCTAATCCCCACAGAATAGTAGCCTCTCCCTAGGCCACTTCCCCAACCACTCCCACAGTACCTTCTCCTGGCCCACAGGGTGAGAACTTCTCCCAGTTGTAACTTTCAGTTCTCCTCCACCTTGTACTTCCTCCTCTCCAGTCCGTCACTCCTCTCCTTCCCCCCTCCTTACCCGAGGGGAAATCTTTTATAGTGGACCAGCAGGCCCTAATTGACTGCAGGTGTCCCATTAGTCTGCTGGTGCAGGCCAGCTCTTAATGAGTCCCAGGTGCCTGCCAGTCTTAATTGCTTGGCAGCAGTCTCTGACAGCCTATGTTGGGAACAGGAACCTGCTCACCCAACTCTCCATGTACCTGCCCTCCACCAAACTACTGCAGCCTGCTGCCTTTGGTCTGCCACAGTATGTTGACTCCAGCAACATTATTTACGTAGCAGGAATTGCATATCTTAGGTGGACCTTCCCCCATAGTGTAGACCTGCTCTAACAGTAACTACACAAGCTAGCACACTGGTTTAGAAGATCACAGCTTAGATGTTTTGCTTCCTTATTGTTCATGTGTAACTTTTCCCTCTGATTCTCAGTAAAGACACAGATTCTGTACAGTACACAAGCACATCCCTGAACCTACCTCCATTCAGCAAAGCCCTGGAGCACATGCTGAACGTGCCAGATTCTGCACAGTACACAAGCACATCTCTGAACCTACCACCATTCAGCAAAGCCCTGGAGCACATGCTGAACGTGGGCTCGATCAAGCTGGGGAAACTGAAGAACAAAAAATATGAACTGGGAATAGCTGGCTCAGCCGGACAGTTCTTTATTACATCATTCTACCAGTGAGTTTACTCAGCCCAGGTGTCCATTCCAATATCCATAAAAACAAACAACATATTCAAATTGCATAATCCATGTAAAAACTCATGACCCGCTGAAATGGACTCGATGCTAAAACTTCAATCTGAGCATTTGCTGGGCCACTTCAAGGGCTTTTCTATCATTCACCGTAAGTAAAATTCTGAATGAAAGCAAAATCTACTGTGTCGAAGAGAAACCTGCTTAAGCCTCTTTATTTAATGCTGAGTTCTGTTCCTCTGTGATAAGTGCTACTTGCCAAGAGCTTAGTTTCTAATGGAGTTCAAAGTAAAGTTATTGTCATAGACATCAACGTAATCAGAATTTCAGGGAGGGGAGAGAGCTTCACTAATCGTGGTCCCAGGGCAGTGCTTGCTGCCATCACAGTTAAATAGGTCTATTAAGTGAGCTAACTTACTTCCTTGAATAAAGTTTGATGGAGTTCAGTTTTATATAGAATGTACATTTCTGAATTCTCAGTTTCAGCTGCTGTGGAAATCTGGGGCCTGAGCCAAATCCCACTGAAATCAATGGGAGACTTTTTACTGACATCCGTGTACTTTCAATCAAGCCCCAAAAGCCCAGAACGTTGTTCTAGAGAAAAACTCTCTGAATCTCATTCTTAAACAGTGTTCACTGAAGTCAATGGGAGCCTGTCCATTGACTTCAATATGTATTGGCTCAGGGCCGACTTTTCTTCTGGGAAGTATGTAGATTAGCACAAATTGTGATAGTGTCTCTTCCTCCCTCCTAAATGGAAGCCTAACCCGAGTTATTGAGAGAGAAGAAGCAGCGCTACAGTAAATCCCTAACGATGCAGTAATGTTCATCACTGGTTTCGGTATAAAAGGGTGTGTTTTGTTCAGGCTTGTTTGGCTTGTTTTAAGAATTAACTTTGTGGATCCATGAGATTAAAGCTTAAATGCGATCAATTAAAATGACACGATGTGCATCAAAGCAATTATTGCTTCTTTTGCAAAATCTAAAGGACCAGTTAATAGTGAACTATGGAGGGCTTAGAGTAATGATTATGGATTTTTTCCAGTAAAAAGATGAAGGAAAGTATTACCACTATTCTCGGCTGACGTGAAATGTTTCTCATTCCCAGGTGAACAGGACACTTCCAACAATAAGACGCTTCATGATGCCCTCTCAAATTTAGAAATCCGATATACGGAACACTTTGAAGAAAGTAATTTTGCTGGCTGTGTAAAGAATATTAACTAAATGGAAAAGCAATATAATAATATATGCCTTAGAGACTGTAAAACAAATGAAAACTTCCAGCATTGGCATCTATCCTTTACCTTTTATCTCTCCACAAAGCTGTATGGAAAAATATATTAAAGTTATAAGTTTAGGTAGATGGGAATATGGGATACAACATTTATTTGGTGACTTTCTTTAAATTAGAGTTTTCTGATGCATAAAGGAGAGGCCTGTAATATACTAATCTCCCAAATCCTTGATTTTTCATATTCACTGTTCACATAAATCATACTGTGTAGCGAATGTAGAAAAGCTAAATTTGGACATACCTACTAGAAGGGAAGAGGGATTTGTTAAGATGATATTATGTAGTCTAAATTTATTTAATCTGCTGAATTTATTGCAATGAAAAAATTAATCTTAATATTTTTAGAACAAATTTTAAGTGTTATGCCTATTTGCAAGTCAGATTTCTCTCCATGTTGTGCCACTTTTGCTGGCATTTAGACAATCTCATGATATTTTCTACAGAACTCTCTCCTAGCAGCTAACTCATAGACTTCACTGTTTAAAGCAACAGAGACTATCTAATAGACCTTGGCTCAGTTCAACCAAAAAGCAAAAGAGTTTCAACCTCCTGATTTATAAGGGTGAAAAAGACAAAAACTGGACAAGATGACCGAAGAATATCTGTAAACAAAAGCCTCAGTTATATGCAGTTAAAATGGAAATGAATAAAAAACAGATTGACAATCATCTATCGCTGTCAACAAACTACTCCACTGAAAGGCCAGTGAACATGTGCTGTAGATGTTCCTCATGGAGAAAGCTCGGCATCTGAATTTGATTCACTTATATGGCAGGGAACCCTCATCTTCCCCATTAGGGCAATGTAAATCAAAGGATTTTGGCCCCTTTGAATGGCTCAGAGGCACATAGTAGCCAGTCATCTTGAACAGAACTTTAATTTAACCCTTGTGCCCTTCCCCTCATAATAGCAAGAAAGAGGACCAATACCTAAGTCCAACCTAAAATGACTCATTTCTTACTAAAAATGTTCCTGACTCTGGAGTAAGGAGGAAATGTTACCAACCTACCAGGTAATGTAGGAGCTTCTGCATGCTCTGTTTCATGCTCACAGAATGAACAGTAGGAAACCTCAAGATTACTGCACATCTGGATACATAAAACCTAAACGGGAAGATGTGCCTCTCTTCTCTGATCATCAGAAGAAAATAAACTACAGCACCTGCTCTGACACAATGAGTTGCCCAACTATGATGGAGGCTCCTAGGCTCTATGGTAATATAAATAATACTAATCATTTGGTTCGTTAAACTCCAGCTATTTCGAGAGTTATTTGTGGATCTCAGTACTAATGAGGTGATCTTTGGGAGGGTAAAAGCTTGAAAGATGTGTTCAATGGCTGGAAGAAACACAAACCTATGTTAAAAACAAAGGCGTTACTGGCATTGCAACAATGGAAAAAGACACAGTTCACCAGCTGTGTGAGGCGTTTAGAAGAGGTGATACATTTGGCAGTGAGGAAAACATGCTGCAACACTTCTAGACTTCTGATTGCAGAGAAATATGGACATATCTCATGTGGTCCGATCCTCATCTGATGTAAATCAATGAAGCTTCGTTGAAGTCAGTTGCTCTGAGTTTCTATTGTCTTGTTTGAGTTACCGTATATACTCGAGTATAAGTCGACCCGAATATAAGCCGAGGCACCTAATTTTATCCCAAAAAACTGGGGAAAAGTATTGCCCCGAGTATAAGCCTAGGGTAGGAAATAAGGCAGCCTAGGGTAGGAAATGAGTCGGGGCGAAAGCTGCTCCGGTGCCCCCGGTCTGCTGGAGACCGTCTCCAGCAGACCAGGGGCACCGGGCGGGTTCCCGCGCTTCTGAGGCTTTGCCAGAGCAAAGCCTCAGAGGCGCGGGGAACCAGACCACAGGCACCCGGACTGAAGCCGCAGCCGCGGGGGGGTCCCGCGCCTCTGCGGCTTTGCCCGCCTCAGTTCGAGATGCTGACTCGAGTATAAGCCGAGGGGGGCATTTTTCAGCACAAAAACTGTGCTGAAAAACTCGGCTTATACTCGAGTATATACGGTACTTCACCAGAACCATCTCTGTCACTTCCAGGTTCACAGCTGATCATAGATATCTCATCTTACATGTACTAGGGTACTCAAGAATTATTTTGTGGCAGACTAAGCAAGTGAACAAGGCTACAAAGCTGATTGACATATGTTCAGATTAGATTTTATTTACAAAAAATGTAGTGTGGAATGCTTTCTACAGTGTGTGGCTTCAGTGAAAGAGAACCTAACGTTACAGATGCTGTTGATACAAGGAGAGACTCTTAGTGGCAGACAGGAAAAGTCTATTTAACTGTCATTACTGGCAACAATGTTTGTTTTTCCTTTAGTGCAAGTGAAAGCCTCCATGTATCCTGTGTGAAAAGGTTACACTTTCCACATCACCATCTCCAGGGGTCCCAGGTCTTATTTCTCTTCTTCTGGCATTGACAATTATCACAAACTCCTCTACTGCTGCTCACGTCACTTATGAAATTGACAGGCTGAATGTTAAGTTTCTTGACTGACCATCAACCACATCACACCCACAACATGCCACATCTCCACTGGGTCTGGAAAGGGGAAAGCTCAAGTGGAATATGGACAACAGCCACTCCTTGGGCAGGGATACTAAACACATTAAGGGCACATCACAATGAAAGGGGTAGATCACTACACTGATGAAAGATGAAACAGTGTCTTCCAAGTGGGCTGTTGACCGACTTGACCAATCCAAGGTGCTATTGGTGGATTCATCTCTTCTTTTGTAATCAGAGATTCTCAAGAGGCTTGGTTCTGTGCCCACTTCATCATTCATCTCCCTTGATACTGAGTTGCCCCTTTTCCTTTGGAAATATCTTTCCACTCTGCTTTCCAAGGACTGAGTGCTCGACAGAAGGTGAGGACCTCTGTCTCAAATAGTGGTAGCAATGAAGATTTGTTCCAATCGGTGGGTTCACAGGTCTACGATTCAAAACTTGACCCACACCTGACCTCAGATTTTCTTCTCAGAAGTCTGAAGTTCTGATGTGATCTTCAGTTATTTTGGGATTAGGAGCAGAGAGAGCAGAACTTTAACCTCCATATTTCCTAGTTCTGGATCAAATTCCTCTGATTTCTCAAAATGTAGGCCTGGTTAGTTACAATTTCACTCCCTCTGCTTCCTCTACAGATCTTTAAAAATAATAGTTTTTCATGTATAGTTTTTTTTGGGGGTATTAATGTTGGTTTTCATTGGGCTGGCATTGTCAGAACTTTTAAGAACATCCCCTGGGACTTCTGCCCTGAATTGGATCACTTGCTGCTGATAGTGGCAGGCATTTGTCTTTTGTTTTCAGCACACTGCACAGCTACCACTGAAATACCACCTGCTTTTTTCTGCTGTTTCAGAGCTAACACCAGCCTGAGCATCAGTGCTGATAGAGTAGCCGTCCTGTGGGGCTGGGCTGAAAAGGAGCTCTCCATATGTTCTGTAATATGGAAAGTAGCCAGTGGAAGAAAAAGGTTGATTCCGCATCAATAGTCCATTGAGCAGCGAGATCTCAGAAGCACAGTGTCCAACAATGCTGTCAGTTAATAGACAGGAGCCAGAGGACTCAACACCAGGCATGGAAAAGATTCCTTCCTTCTCTGTCTCATAACTTTGTGAGATGCTCTGAAAAAAGCAAACATGATCAAGATCTAAGGTCTGAAATTATGCAACAGGAATGGGAATTATGGGGTGATTTCATCCTTGGCATTGTGCCTGCTTACATTGAGGGAAAATTTGGTCCATTATCTATAGCTAGCAAATAAAGGTCCCTAAGGATATTTGTGTGTCTCACAATGGAACTCTCAGGGCCTACACGGGAGGAGGGTGGGGAGGTTGAAGTTGGAGAAGTCCAACTGCATATACATCATTGGTTGGCAATCTGCCACCCAAGGACCAAATGCAGCCCTTGGGGGTTCCGGATGCGGCCTGCCAGACGTTTGGTTTACCATCCCAAACTCCTCTGGTTTCTGTCTGCAGAATGTTTTTCCTACCAGTATTACTGAAGTGACATGTACATAACGCAAGGGCACCTGAAGTGAGGTGGGTGCTGATGGCACACAACATTGTGAGAGCTGTGTGCTCCCTCTGCATCCAGTCAAAGCGCGGCTACGGCTCAGTTGGCACACCCCACAAATTCTGGGCAAAGCACGGCTATGGCTCAGGCAGCACACCCCACAAATTCTGGGTAGGCAAGTGCAGTTAGCAAAACTACCCTGTCCCGGGAGCCTGTCTTGGTTCTGACAATCCGGCAGCCCATGGAAAGGAAGGAGGGCCTCTCCCTAGCCTCAGTTGCCCCTCACTGATGTACATCCAGAGATCTGTGAGAAAATGCTGCCTTCCGAGAGACAGCCAGTGGGGGGAGCGCCACAAGACACTGCGCTGCCGCTGTTCCTATCATTTGCGGGGGAACAGGCCACATGAGAGCTGTTGTCCCAGCTCTTCCCCTAATGGATTGCTACTTCCACCCGCGTCCTTGCAGAGCCCCGTTCACTAATGTGCTGGCACTGAAGGCATCTCTCTCTAGAAATGTTTCTCTGTGTTCAGCTGCTGGAGGGAAGCATTAGCCTGAAACATTTTGGGATTGATTGTGCTTAGCCCTGAAGACGGATGCAAGTAGGGGACGGGGCAAAAGATGCCGTCCACATTTGCATGCAAGGGCCAGGTCCAATAACAGTACTGGGACTCAGGGGGCAACAACACTGAGCAAGCCACTGGTGCAAAGCAAGATTCACTAGAGGCCATGCAGAAACATGGCCTCAACCTGGCACTTCCTGGGTCTAGTGGCCTCATAGTATGTATGTGTGTGGAGGGTGTCTTCTGTGCATAGTTCTGGGTCCGCATAGGTGCTGGGGGAGACTGATGATTGTGGCTGGGCCCCATTTTATTCCTTTCTCCCCAGGGCAGCAGTCCCTCCTTTATTTGTTTCCACTCCTCCCTGCAGGATTCACCTCAGCTTTGCTCCATACCTTCCCCTCTTACCTCTCCTGCCTCATGCCCCTACCCTTCCCTTTTCTTTCCATTCACCTTATCCTGCCCCTGCCTATGTAAAGCCACCCAGCAAAGGTGTGGAACTAACGTGCCATTTGCCACCATCACATCGTTCATTCTACTTGTGTGGTTTCCCTGCCTCCCTCCAGACCGTGGCTCTGTCATATCTAAGCAGATGGTTACCTCTTCTGAGACTGTCGATTGTTTTGGGACACTGTTCTTCGTTGGCCCTTCAGTACTACTGTAATGAACACGATGAATAATAAAACAACATGACTGGTCCTTTGCAGAGGAGACATGTCCTGCACCCCTGTTGTGAGGTGGCATGGCAGCTGGTTTCCCCCGGCACACCTGAAGCCATTGTGCCTTACCAGCAATAGTTCAAAAATACACCCTCTGCACCCTTCCCTACTTCAACCATGACTTACGGCTCGGCTCCTGTGCTACTGAAGTCAACAGGAGCACAATTGCACTTGCAACTTACTTCATCACTGCGACCAACGGCAACCTCACAGATGCTTCCTCTTTCATTACTCCTGGGGTTAGCCTCTTTTCCCTCTGTAGGCATGCTTAAGCCATCATTTAAAACTGGACGACCAAAGTATTCCTCATACGACCTATAATACGGAAAATAACCAGTGGAAATAACTACGTGGCTTCGGTTCTCATCTTCTCGTATTGTGTTAGCTTTGCAGCCGCGGCCTCTGTCTCTTTTTTCTCCTCCTATGTCACTGTCTTCCATTTCTGCTTTAACACATAGAGTGTCCAATGAAACTGGGTTGATAAAAAATTCCTCATATGTTCTGTAATAGGGCAAATAATGAGGCGAGGAAATCAAGTTGCTTGGGATTGGCAGTTCATTGAAAAGCGAGAGTTCACTGTCAAAGACCTCAATGTCGTCCTCAATTAATAGCAGAAAGGAGTTGGAGGCTTCTGAGCGGTAAAATGGCAATATGGTTTCAAGGTTCCCCTCCAAACTTTTCACCAACTGGAAGAAACATAGGCATGATCAATGCACTGAAAGGTTTGTAAGCACGAGTGAGACCTTCTTAATTACCAAGGGTGACATCTACCCTCTAAAGCAGTGGTTTTCAATGTGTGGCCGATGGACCACTAGCCATCTGTATCTGCCATGGGGCTCTGGCCCTTCCTTCCCACAGTGGGGATCCTGGCCATGCAGGGCAGCCCTGCCTGCCTCCCTTTGTGCGGGGAAGGGGGAGCCCCAAGTCTCGCAGGCCATATCCAACTCACCGGGGGAGGAAGTGGCTCTACACTTTGCTGCTCCCCTTTTCCACAGCTGGGGAAACAGCAGCGTAGGAAACTACTCACCTGGAGGCTTTCCCCTCTCCTGCTGTTCCCCCTGTTCCCCTTTTCCACAGCTGGGGAAACAGGAGGAAGTGGCTCTACACTCTGCTGTTCTTGCTGCTCCCCTTTTCCACAGCTGGGGAAACAGCAGCGTAGGAAACTACTCACCTGGAGGCTTTCCCCTCTCCTCCCATTGGTTGCCCCCACCTGCACCCTGCCTCCCAGCCAGACCCTGCACTCCCATTCCTTCCTGCGCCCATTTTGTCATCATGGGTGGTAGTCCAGTGGTCTGCAGAAAGATTTGTATTGAGCAGAGTGGGCCACAGGCCAAAAAGTTTGAGAACCACTGTTCTATAGCTATCATCCATACTTATTGATGAATGGCCTAATTCATTATAGGTCATATATAAAGATATAGACCAAATCCTTAGAGTGGCATAGCTCTCCCTGCAGTCAATGGGATTTCAGGATGTGTCTGATTATCTGCCAGCTGGGTTATCTGCTTTGAATGCTCATACCTATGCATCACAGAAAGCATGAGATTGTCAATTAGGGATGAGAGGAAAGACTTCCATCAAAACTGCTGTTGGTGCCATTAAACTTTTTGCAATGTGTTTGCTTTCCAGGGAGGTGTTGATAGTTTATGGAAAAAACCAAATCCTTAAAAAAATATTTTGTCCAAAACCCATCGTATAGTAAGCTTTCAATATTTCATGAAAAAGTGAAAATTTTCCATGGAAAACGGATGAAAATGGACAAAAATGATTTTTAAAATTTTCTGAAGGAACAAAGCTATGTTTTCCCATCAGCTCTACTGCCAAACCATCCAACCCTGAGATTTTAGGTGTATCAATGTTATTATTATTTCATAAGCACCGGTCACGTGCTTAGCATTCCACCATCTACCCAACAAGACTGGCTGTGACATAAAGGATCTCAACACACAGACCAGGCAAGGTGTTCTGGGAAAGCAAGAGGAGGTTGTAATGTTGACAACTAACCAGCTCTGGTCACGATCCCCAAGGAGTGTTAAGTCACTCTGTTTGGACAACAAAGACATGTTAATGGGGCTATCAGACACGAGCCTATTTACTTGCATTGGTACAAATCAAGAAAGGATGCTAACTGTATTTGTCTGAATTCTCCCTATACTCTGTTTAATGTACACTAATGTAACCTGTACTTATCTTTACCTTAGATATGCAACTATACTGGAATGTCATTAGGTCATAGAATCATAGAATCCTAGAGATGGAAGAGACCTCAAGAATCCAGCTCCCTGCCCAAAAAAGAATCAATCCCAACTAAGTCATCCCAGCCAGGGGTTTGTCAACTAAATGTACTAATTATGAGCTCGTCTACTGTCACTGGGTGTATGTGTGTGAAAATGATAGCTCTCCCAATCAGTATAAGTGACATTGACATAATGCTAAGTCTGTGGGAGGTGTTCTTCTGATGATATAGCTTCCACCTCTCTCAGAAGTGGAGCAATTATGACGAGGGGAGAGCATGACAGTGCAGACATGCCTTGTGTTTCTGTAATGAAATGGCCCACCAACAAGAATCAAAGCCTTAGAACTCTGAGTGGGTAGTTTGTTGACTTCAAAGCATGAGTCATCATTATATAGGACAATAGAAGTGCCGCAAACTTTTAGTCATGAAAGGGCTTGATAAACTGTTTTCAACTGTAAATGCTGGACCTTAGAAATGATCCTGCTGTCTCTGATATTTCTAGATGCTATTGGGGGCTTTCTAGCTATCAGACCAATTTCCCCAAATCCACTTTGGGAATCCCTGAAGAACCTACAAGAATATTCTACAAGACCATCAGATTACTACACCTCTACTAATATTTGGACTATGTCAGCTGATCCAGCTGAAATGTATTTTATCTGCTTGTATCTTTTAATAACTCTCATCTCTTTTCATGAGTATTAAACCTTTAGTTAGTTTACAAAGAACTGGCTAACAGTGTTGTTTTTTGGGAAAGATTGCAAGCATCTTATGATAATAGGGTAAGTGACTTGTTCTTCAGGATTGAAAGAACCCAGTGTATGTGATTTGGGGGTTTAATAACCTTTTATCACTTGATCCAGTTTGTCTGGGTGATAAAGAGAAGCTAGAGGGCTTAAGGGGGCTGTTTGTGACTCCATGATTAAACTAGTGTAATGTTCCATGATTACACTTTTGTTGCTGGCTTGTTGAAATCTAATAACAGAACATATACCAGTCTGGGGTGTATGCCCTGGTTTCCAACAATATGACCTATGTTTGGCACTCTTAGCTGTGAACCACTCTGGGCAGTGAAGAAGAGGTAACATTTTGAACTGACACATTTTTTAAAGGGACATGGGTGTTTCCTGGCCCTTATGAAAGAAAGAAGTATTTAAAAGAGATCTGAATGAGGGTAGGGTCGGAGTTAGCTTGTTGGGATTTGGAGAGTCATTCTGTGCTCATGGAATAAAATAACTAATGGGGAATAGGAGAAGGAAGCAACATTGGCTGCTGAAGGTGGTATCGAAGGCAGAGAAGAAAGGTAAACTGGACATGGTTGAGAACCAAAAAGGCTGAAATTGAGTGGGACCTTGTATGTGAAACTTGACAGAAGGAGGGACAGTAGAGTGATGCAGTCTGATTGCTGGGTGAAGAACAGTGTTCTAACTGCTGTCTGCTGGATGGGCTGAAGGGGAGTCACACTTCTAAAATATGAAGCAGGATATAGTACCTCATTTTTTCTGGACCATTCCCCTGTCCTCTCTGCAGTGTTCCATGGTAAGAGCCCATTTTTTTCTTGCCCACCATCAGAAAAAGCTTGTTTTTTCAGTAGTATGTAATTTGCCTGCCTGGCTTTGTTCATACCCTGGCCTAGTTCTCCTTCCAACTCCTCCTCCTCTTCTCTTTCCAGTGGCTGTAGAGTGGAAACAAGAAGATCAGTGAAGGGCACAGAGTGTGAACCATTCCATATGAGACTATGGATTTGGACAGAGGGCCTGACTTGCATAAATACACATGGACACTTGCACACTGAGATGTGCAAATCATTGTCTGCTTGACTTATAGGCACAATTACCACGACTGCATGCACATCTCTGTTGTTTGGGCTTGACAATGACTACTTTGTTGTGTAATTGTGCGTGTGAGTATACAGATGAACAGCATGTGCAGCTGCAATAATTTCATTTGGGAATTCAGCATGCAACTGGACACGCCTTTCTGCATTTTGAAAGCCAGGCCCTGATTTGTCCCAAACCATATTTTATTGACTAATTGGGCTATTCTAGAGACATCTCAGATCTGACAGCTTCCAAAAATACATGAACTAGAATCTTATCATGGGGGCGTGGGGGAGAGAGAGGAATGATACATACCCTTTATATGAAGTAGGTGAAGGGGAAACTGATAAAGAAACAAAAGTAAAAATCACCAATATTAAATTGACGGGTTTTTAAGATAAACAAAATACTAACAGATTTGAAAGGCAAGGACAGCTACCATTTTCAGCTTCTCCCCGGGTTGCTTTAAACTTTTCTGCCTACTTAAGGAACTGGCTTTGGAGTCCTCAAACTGCACCCCATTCAGCTTTTTAATTAAGTTGAAATTCCATATCAGTGCATCTGTTTCTCTAGCACTGATTAGTAGTGCAAGATAAGAAACTTGATGTTTCCCCCTTAGGGTACATCTAGACTGTGGGGTTTTTTTTTTTTTTGCAGAAGAGTAGACGTGCTCTTTCGGAAGCCCTGATTTCCTCGTTCCACAAGGAAGAAGGGTTCCTCCAAAAGAGGGTTTTTTTCTGAAATTTGGCCCATTGTAGACAGGCCAAATTTCAGAAAAGCATCTTCCAAAAAAGCTATTGGAAAAAGGGTACTCAAATTGCAGAGCACGATGTCTGTACCTTTTTCCGATAGAGCCCCGCAGTCTAGACGTACCTCCAATGATTGGACATTTGAGAGGCAATGGCAGATGAGTTTCACAAAGAAACCATCTCACTCCCAGATTAACTCCCAGTGTTTACAGTCCCTTAGATGGCTTTATACACGAGGGATGGGTTCAAGGGAGAGTGTTTATATCTGGTTCGGGTTATGTTTACATTTACATTTTAGGTTAGGATAAGGTGGGTTTGAGTTCAGATATCCCTTCCCCCTTATAGCACAAGCTAACTTTGTGAAGTTCCAGCCCCAAAATTATGTGAACTCTCACAAAAGACCAGACGGAGATTTCTAATGTACCAAATCACTAATTCCTGTGAGAGTTCTCCAAACTTTGGTATTTTGATAGTTGGGCTGAATCTGTGGGGGGAAAGGGGAAACAAAAAAACCAAGCAAACCCCTAGGATAAAAAGGCCTTTCTCAAATCCTGTTGGGAACTAAAACCATGGATTCAGGGACAAGAAGTGATGTGGACTTGATGCTACATTTTGGGCCCAACTCTAGTTTGCACCTCTACTTTCATTTGAAAAACAGACTAATTAGGTTCATCACTATTCTTTGAAGTTACCTAAGTCCAAGTTATCATATTACTATTATACATAGAAATAAACAGGAATATTTCATCACTAAAATCATTGCAAAGAATATTAATATACCTGCAGTCTTCATAAAAGTAGCTGGTAACTTTTTTTCCTCTTAGCTATGTTTGGTACACTGTTGTTTTCTTATAATTCTTCATTCATATCAGCTCTCAATGGGCTTTCTTCATTTATTTTTTCCTAATAAAAGATTACAGTTCAAGGCCTTCTGTAAGCATCTTCAGATCTTACAACTATTTTACGCATCAGGGCACAAACCCCACAATTATTTGACTGAGCTCTATCTGCTCAAGTGAGTCCCAGAACTGAAAAAAGGGAATATCTCACAAGTCAGAAGAAACCTCTGAACATCAAAATGCCTGGTTTTATTTTTTTGAGCCAGTCACTAATAATTATGTTTATAACCCCAACTTCCAGCCTATATCCATAAAGGGGAAATTAGTCAAGAGATCTTTATGGCCACATGCTCAGCTTTCCCTTGCTGCTGTGTTTATGCTCTAGCAAACACACAACCTTGGGAACTGGATGGTCATTCTGAGATGACATCACAGAGACAGTGTTCTCTCTCCATGATGAACACATAATAAAGAATCTGGGAGGATCCGTGTGCGCTTACCAGACTACCAAACTTGAATAATAAGAAGGCCCTTTGTGTATTCTCACCCCATGCCAGTACTGCTGCCTTAAAAAGGCCAAGAAATATCCACCCCACTCACTCACAGCCACCCACACAAACAGATGTTGAGTATTTTTTCTCCCTAACATTTTTCCACCCACAAAATCCAAAATGTCTGAAGAAAAGACTAGCCATGTGTACCACATCTGTCTATCTACTACATCTGTCTGTCTATTTATCTATAATTACCTATAATATCTGATATATATTAAGGGTGAGATTTTCAAACGCATCTATGGAAATCAGGTTTTTTTGTTTTTTGAAGGTCTCATCTTAAATTCCAATAAAAATAAAGCACCCACAGAACTTCGTAGACACTATTTATTAGTGGTGGGCACACAAAATGGAAGAAAGCTGGGACTGCCTTGTGCCATCCTATCCCTAAATGTATTTGCATCAATCATAACACAAGAATCAATGCTACAGGCAGAGATAAGATGAGAAAGATGTAAAACACATGATATAAAACAGGATGAATCCAGTGTCTGTATTTAAGAAAGTTTGCAAAAGTAGCGAGGAGTCCTGTGGCACCTTAGGGTATGTCTACACTACCCTCCTAGGTTGAACTAGGAGGGTAATGTAGGCATACCGCACTTGCAAATGAAGCCCGGGATTTGAATTTCCCAGGTTTCATTTGCATAAGCGGGGAGCCGCCATTTTTAAAATCCCGCTGGTTCGAACCCCGTGCAGCGCGGCTACACGGGGCACGAACTAGGTAGTTCAAACTATGCTTCCTAGTTACTCCTCCTGAACAGTCAGTAACGGATTTGAAAGCAGCCATCCTTCTACAAAAGAATTTCAAAAAACAGTTACAAAGGGAGACATCTGAACTGGAATTCACTGGCAAATTCAACTGTGTCCACTTAAATTGAATAAGAATTTCAACTGGTTAACACATTACAAAGGCAATTTTCCCTTTCTGGATAGTCACATTTCCAGAACAAATGCTATGAGAAATCCACTTCCTCCCTGACATGATTAACTTCAATAACACAAGCAACTTCTTCCTTATATACACCTGCTTCTGTAACTTCCACTCCAGTTCATCTGATGAAGTGGGTTTTATCCACAAAAGCTTATCTCCTAATAAATCTGTTAGTATCTGAGGGCATGTCTACACTACGGAGAAGATGGACCCTGTGGAGGTCAATCTTCTAGTGTTCAATTTAGCAGGTCTAGTGTAGACCCCCAAATCGAACACTGAGGGTAGCCCCCACTGGTGTACTCCTCATTCTGTGAGGCATAAGGGAAGCCGACAGGAGCAAGTGCTCCCATCAGCCTCCTGCAGTGTAGATGCTGCAGCAGATCAGCTTAAGGTAAGGTGAATCCAGTTATGCATTTTGCATAGCGGGGTGGTGTACCTTAAATTGACCTCCCTGGTCTAGTGTAAACCAGGCCTAAGGTGCCCCAGAACTTCTCATTGTTTTTTCAGATACAGACTAACACGGTTACCCATCCGAGACTTTAAAAGAAAGGATACAATTCAGAAAAAATATCAGAAAACTAGTGTTTTGAAAACTTTGGTTTATAAGAATAACTATGAACACTTTTTATTGTTATAAGACAGATAATATTCACTTTGGTTCATAAATAAAAAATATAAAAGCAAGCAAGGAAGTTTGAAAACATAACAAAAAGAGTTGTGCCACATAAGGAGATTTGATAGAAATGTAGCCGTGTTAGTCTGGGGTAGTTGAAGTTCATCACAATTAATCGATAGCCATACCACAAATTAAAATTTCCTAATATAAAACAAATAAACCAACATAGTTCTGAAAACTGAAGTCAGTGAGACATGAAGTACTACTTTTCCTGCATTCCAGTGTCAATTATAAAGATACCTGCTTAGCATTATCGTTAACTGTGACTGAAGGAAATGGGCTTTCAGTTAATTTACAGACAATAATAAAATGTATTAGTGGTTGGTTGATATTAAAGGTAGGGAGAGTGGGATGTTTGTGAGTTAATGGTATTACAGGTGATAATTGGGGAAACTGTCTTGGTAATGGGTGAGATAGTTCAAATTCTTGTTAAGTCCTTGTTGGCAAGTGTCGAATTTAAAATTTTCATGTACAAAGTATACCTTTCTCAAGTCACTGCTTATTTTTTATTAAAATATCTGCTTGTTCATGTTTAAATATTTATTTGTCAAACATAATTAGATGGAACAACTCTTTGAACAATGAGTTAAAAAGAAACACTCAGAAATGCCTGAGCAACAGAGTAATACAGAAAACATTAGAAGCTCGCAAATAGTATTTGATCTCTTTATTGAAATTTGAGAGCATTAATATACAAACATGATTTTGAGTAGAATGTGATATTATTCCTCCTATTTATCATGCTGGATGCTGCCTTGAAAATGTATTTTATTATAATGGGATTTCTCAGCTGCATCAGTAAGATATTTAGACTGCTAATGAAGTGTTCAGGGCTGGAAAAAAAACCCTGCTTCGTTGAAATTCATTACCATGAAGATTTTGTGGGAGCTAATTGCTGTCAAGGCTGCTTATGCATATGGCTTAGTTTAATTTCACAAAATGACAGAGCTATTAGAAGTGGCAAGCAAACTAGAAAATTCATAAAAGGGAAAGAAAAAAAACCCTTGTTCAGCTGTTATCATTTGCAATTCAGTACCATTTTCAGCTCTTTCTTGGGTCCTGTATCTCAGGAAAAGGCACTCCTTTATAGAAGAGGTATGTGAACTCTAATAAATAGCCTCAACATGGAAAAATGCCCAAACAGCTTAACAGAGTTTTCTCCGTTGAAATGGACTTATGTGGATTGCAAGCCATGGTTTGAGGTTTCCAGCCGATAATGTTTTAAAATAGAAATGTGACAGTGAACGGTATAGGAAAATAACAAATAGCTGAACGATGAGTAAGAAGACTGTTAAGTAGATGTTACTGAAGTTTAAAAGAGACTCTTTATGCTAGAGGTGCCGTGAGTCTAATTAAACTCTCTGCCTAGTTGCTCCCACAATCACAATCTGTCTGCTCTCCTGTTGATATGGCATCTTTCCTGTTTGCAGGCTTGACGAGGGGAAAGAACGGGATCCTGATTCCCTCCTACATTTCTGCATAGTTGTATAAGGGCCAGGCACTCTTTAGCCCACAATATGGCTATGTCTACACTCGCGGCTTCTTGCGCGAGTAATATGCAAATGAGGCTAAGCGTGGAATATCGCCGAGCCTCGTTTGCATACCTAATGAGCCACCATTTTTTTCAGAAGAGGCTCTTGCACAAGAAGGAGTGTCTACACTGCCCCTTCTTGCACAAGAAAAACCCTCTTGAGCAATGCCGTTACACCTATTACTTTTCAGGAAGAACGGCATTGCGCGAGAGGGTTTTTCTTGTGCAAGAAGGGGCAGTGTAGACACTCCTTCTTGTGCAAGAGCCTCTTCTGAAAAAAATGGTGGCTCATTAGGTATGCAAACATATTACTCATGCAAGAAGCCACGAGTGTAGACATAGCCTACATGTACATGCGCCATGCCCTCCTTGGGACCCTTTAGTGCTAGCTTTTGGGTGCTAGCATTAGCTGGAAGAATGACTTCACTTGTTTTTAAAGCACAGTAAACAGTGAAAAGCCCGGCTTTGTTTTGCAGAAGGCAGGCACTGGAGTTTGCAAGCCCAATTTAAGTTTGTGCACCCAGAAGATCATTGAAGGGATTCCTCCCAAAATAGTGATTCACTCATCCCTGCCTCACACTGAACACTCTGGGGCTATGTCTAGATTGCAAGCCTCTTTCGAAAGAGGCTTTTTCGAAAGATACTTTCAAAAAAGCCTCTTTCGAAAAAGAGCATCTAGACTGCAAGCAGAAATTTCGAAAAAGCAAGCCGCTTTTTCGAAAGAAAGCAGCGAGTGAGTCTGGATGCTCTCTTTCTAAAAAGCCCTGTTGGCATTCAAGAACGCCTTTTCTCGAAAGAGCACTTTCGAAAAAAGGCGTTCTTCCTCGTGAAATGAGGTTTACCTCCATCGAAAGAAAAGCCACGTTCTTTCGATTTAATTTCGAAAGAACGCTGCTGTAGTCTAGATGCAGGTGACGTTTTTTCGAAAAAAGGCTACTTTTTTCGAAAAACCCCCGGAGTCTGGACACAGCCTGGGTGTTTCAACGGCCAGTTTATCTGGGTTGTGACGTGCCAGTCTATTTTCCAAGGGCACCATCCTGATTATTGCAAATAGGTTGTAAAATCCATTGAAATTAGTCTGAGGTTCAAGATTAGTATGATATGATAGAGGACACAGCCAGCCAGTTTGCAGCACTTCGTGAGAGGTCCAGATTGCCATTCGGGCACTATGCAATGATCATGGAACAAGTGTCTAACCTACAGTGCCTGTCCGGACAGACAGAGTCACTGTTTGTTTCTGCTCTGCGACGGCTAGATTCACAAAGGAACGTGAGGTACACATGCCTTGCCCAGGGGCCCAATGAGGCTGTCGCCCCTGCTGAGGGTGTCTACAGGACTGGCCCTGTGCTTCTGGCTCTAAAGGGGTGTTTAATTGCAGTGCAGGTGTTTGGGTTGGAGCTCAGGTTGGAGCCCACAGGGCCTGTGTGGTGGGAAGGTCCTAGTACTTGGGTTGCAGCCCTCAGCTGAACAGGAGCGGCCCTAGACGAGCTGCCGGCAACTGGCGCCCTAGGCAAAACACGCGATCGGTGCCCCCGTCTCCAAAGCCCTCAATGACCGTTTATCTTGGCGCCCTAGGATACTGCCTAGGTCGCCTGTACTGATGGGCCACCACTGCGCCTGAACATCTACCCTGTTATTAAACAACCCTGCAGCTTAAGCCCCACATGCTCAAGTCACCTGGAACCGGGAGAA